GCCCGGGCCATCCCGGACTCTGCCCCTGAGCAGAGGCGCGGAGCAGGGCGCTTACTGCTGGCTAGCGGGGCTGGAGGCGGGGTGGGGTCTGCAGGCGCTCCAGGGAGAGCAGGGTGGGAACAGGTAAGGGGGTTTGGCGGGGGTCGAGGCACGGTCCCCAGGGAATGCGCGACGTGCGGGCGGAAAATGTCTGGAGGCGCCCGTGGGCGTTGAGCCCTGGGGCTGCGGGGATCTCAGCGCTCCCGCAGTCTGAAGATGGTTCGGAGATTGCCGACTCCTGTTCGACGGATTCCTCCGTCGTTGGGGCCTCATTCCCTGGTCCCAGTCTGTGGGGGTCTGGAGAAGTGGGCTGGGACAATTGCCCCAGCGAAGGGGGTGGGAGAGGGAGGGTGGCAGCACCTTCCGGGTGGCCTGGGTTCTCTCTGATCTCCCTCATTTAGGAACCGCCTGGCCCCTGAAGCGTTTGACTTTATGACTTTCGATGGGAGTTGTCGAAGGAAACAGGGCTGGGTTTACTCTCCCTTTTCACAGAGGGAGTAACTGAGGCAGGCCCAGAGAGAGAGGTGGCAGTTCCTTCCCAGCCTGGAATCACCTGGAATCTCCTCCCCTCTCTCCCCGAACGCCCAAAGAGCTGTGCAGGGGAGAGCTGTCATCAGCCCCTTTCTCAGGTGGGAAAATGGACGTTCTGAGTGACTGAAACTTGATTAGGGATATTTTTGTTTGGAATTTGAACAGCACAGTTATCTCACCACCAGAGATGGTCAGAAGCCAAGGAGGATGAGAGGATCATTGCTGGGGTCATTCTCGGCACATAATTTCTACTTAGTGCTGATGTCTTCCTGGGCCTGTAATTTCCAGTAGGGTCTGTGCAAGCTGAGAGTTGACTCTTACTTCAGCCTGTGTCCCTGCACACATCAGCCCTCAGGGCTGCCAAGATGGGGAGTTGGGGCAGCCCAGCTGAGATAAGGGACCTGCCCAATCCGGCCCACCCCAAGGAAGGAAGAGGGCTAGGCAACCCAGCCAAGCTAATGGACCTGTTCAGGCCACCCCAAGGGGCCCCATGACCTGGAGAGAGGGACTGGGTGGTAGAGGTCAGGCATTTGGAGAGGGGCCCCGTTCTCTGAACTTGAGATTTCTGATTCTGTGTTTGGTCCAGAGCAGCCTTCAGCAGCTCATGGTTGTCTTGGAGCTGGGACCTTGGGCAGTGACTCTGTTGATGGAGGCAGCACCTTTCCCAGTGGGGCTTTTGTGCAGATTGAGTGAGATAATACTTGTGACATGCCTACTGTTGTGTCTGGTGAGCTGTAAGTTCTCAGTTAATGGCGCCTCTGGCTTGTTTTCCTTATTACCATTCTTTTCATGGAGGAGGGCCTTCCAGGAAGCATAGGGCTGGACAGGCTGAGGGGTAGCCCGCCTGGGCAGAGAGGACGCTTGGATCATAGCACTCCTCTCAGTGCACTCGGAGAAAAACTCAGATCTTCGTCTTGGCTCATGAGCCTGCAAGACTGGCTCCTTACTCTTACTCCTCATGCCTCCACAGGCAAGTCCTTGAGCTGTTCCCTCAGGCCTTTGCATGGCTGGCTCCTTCACATTCAGGTTGTTGCGAGGTCACTTCCTCCTCAGGCCTTTCCTGACCACCACCCTCATCCCAGCCCTGCCCGGCTCATCAGCCTTTCTCTTCATGGCACTCACGATCAGAAATCACCTTGTTGATTTACTTCGTAGTCTGGCTTTCACACCAGGTGGTTTGGTACCGAAGGGTGTGGTCACTAGCTCCTGCTATAACCCAGTGCCTAGCACAGTAGGACTGTGCCTGGCACGTGGTAGAACCTTAGTAAATACTCCTAAGGTGAAATCAAGCAAGCATGGAAGCTGGGTGGGCCTGGTTGCAGCTAGAGGGAAGGAGGGGCGGGTGATAAATCAACCCTGCCCCAATCAGGAGAAGCCAGGTATAATCCCAAGGGCCAACATCCTGACTCCCTCTGTGACCTTGGCCAGGTCCCTCCCTCTCTGATAGGCAATGTCCCCAGCTGTAACTCTAATAGAAGGGTAGACCTGGGTGCCCCTCTCAGCTCCTACTTTACAGGGTTCCCAGGCTGGGGCTCCAGACATCTCTTTCAAATCCCAAAGTCTGTGTCCAAGCAGAGAAAAGAATCCGTGTTCTTGACAGACACGTCCCTGGAGTGGATGCGTTATGCATTTGACAGTGTGTGGTGGTATAGATCAGGGTCTGCAAACTTTTTCTGTAAGGGGCCAAACAGTACATATGTTAGGCTGTGCAAACCAGCCTCTGTCGCATGTGGCTCTTTTCCAATAAATTGTATTTAGAAAGCCTGGCAGTGGTTCAGAGTTGGTATAGATTTGCCAGCCCTGGTGTAGATCACGTGTGACACCTTGACTGTCAGGCACAGAACCCTGGCCATCCAGTGACACTCCAGGCATGGCTCATTCACTGAGAGCACTTTTGGCCCAGCTCAGGTGATGGGAGCACTCGTGTTCAGGAGGGCTAGCCCAGGAGCCTGTCCCCCTTCCGAACCCTCCAAGAAAGAGCAGATCTGTTCACTTGCCCACTCCCAGACGCTGGCCCTTCGGGAGTGTCCACCTTCTGTCAGCACCTAGGGTACCGCACGGGGTCAGCACAGGCTGTCCTGAGGCAGGCGGCGCCAAGAAGAGTGGGCGGGGGCTCAGCTCTCTCCTCCCCCATCCTCAGGGAGGAAGGTTTACTTTTCTGGTGAAAACAATTAAAAAGAAGATTCCTCAGGGGTGGAGTGTGGGAGATGGGACTGCTGTTGCATTTCCCAAGAAAATCTCCAGGCCATATTAAGGCAGGAGTGGATTTCTGGCCATGGCAGATCTGGTAGGCAGATGTTGGGGGAGTCCCCAGGAGAATGCTGTCTGCCGGCCCTTCATTCAACCTGGTTCCCCACTGCAGGCCCATGAAGGAGGGGCACAAGAGCCTTCCCTCTTCCTGTCAGTGTGGGGGGCTAGCTCCCCTGCTCAAAGCTTTCCCCTCCCTGAGCACTGCTCCTCACTTCCTCCATGCTGCCCACCTGGGTAGCATCTAGTCAGGGGTGGACCTGGGCAAGTCAGCCTCCAGAGCTCACTCAACCCAACAGGGCTGGGTAGGGGCCACCTGCTTTTCTTTCAGTCCATCTGTCTCAGCATGGAATGTGTTGTTAGGGCTCTGTGGCTGCAAGATTGGGTTATCATCCAGTTCTGCCTGGTGGCTGACACACAGGTGTGCTGGAGAGAACACGTGGAGCTCCAACCTCAGATGTTCCTCCTGCATCTCCTGCGGCCCCGGACCCTGATGCTGTGCAGTGACCCACTGCGAGGCCGGGAGAGCCCCGAGCTCCTGACCCAAGCAAAGTCCTTAATTCTTTTCTTTTCGAGGACCTTAAATTTAGAAAGAGAGAAAGAAAAAGCTCATGTTCGCACCTCCCAGAATTGGGATTTTATTACATTTGCTGCTGCCTTTTTTAAATAAAAGAAATAAAATATTATAGATAAAGGTGAAATCCTACTTGAGCCCTCATTCCTGGTTACCTTCAGGTCGCCTCCCCCAGGCCACTTTTCTCCTGATTTTGGTTAGTGTCTTTTTTTTTTTTTGTAACTGCCTTACCATTTTTAAGCATACATTCCGTTCAGTAGTGTGAAGTATATTCCCATTGTTGTGAAACATCACTGGAATTCTTTCCATCTTGCTAAGCTGAAACTCTACACCCATTAAATAACAGCTCTCCTTCCCCCACTCTTCCTCCTCCCCCACCCCCAGCCCTGGTAACCACCTTGCTACTTTCTGTTTCTATGAATTCAATTGCTACAGATACCTCATATTAGTAGAATCACGCAGTATTTGTGTCTTTTTGTGACTGGCTTATTTCAGTTGGCATAATGTCTTCAGGGTCCATCCATGTTGCAGCATGTGACAGGAGGTTTTTTCCTTTTTAAGGCTGACTAATATTCCATTGTATGTCTGTACCACATTTTGTTTATCCATTCATCCATCAGTGGACACACTTGGGTTGCTTCCACCTCTGGGCTGTTGTAAATAATGCTGCTATGAACATGGGTGTGCAAATACCCCCTTGGAGGCCCTGCTTTCGATTCTTTTGGATAAATAACCAGAAGTGGATTGCTGGATCGTATGGTAGTTCTATTTTTAATTTTTAGAGTGCCCTCCATACTATTTTCCACAGTGGCTACACCAATTTTACATCCCCACCAATAGTGCAAGAGGGTTCCAGGATTCCAATTTTCCCACATGCCAACTCTTATTTTCTGGGGTTTTTTTTTGTGGGGGAGGCTAGTAATTAGGTTTATTTATTTAGTTAGTTTTTTAATGGAGGCCCTTGGGATTGAACCCAGGACCTCATGCATGGTAAGCATGTACTTTAACCCACTGGGCTATGCCCTCCCCCTTATTTTCTGGGTTTTGAGAGTAGCCATCCTCATGGATGTGAGGTTCCATCCTATCCATTTTTATTCACAGATAGAGTTCTTGAAGACTTTTCAGATATTGTGTCATTTCTGCACACCCAGGGTCACACAGACCGTTGTGCAGGTTGCTTTTTCCACTCTGCACCTGAGGTCTGTTGTCAGCCCATGTTGACACACACAGACTGGGTACAGTCGTGGTGACAGCCAACAGTAGCCCATTATGTTCTGCCCTCCCGCCTCTGCCCAGATCTCAGTTGTTTCTGCTGCAGGTCCCAAAGTCACTGCTCTTATGTGTCTTCCTCCTTTGCTACACTCTGAGCTTCTCCAGCAGAGCCCTCGTCCAGCCCAGCCTGGGGCCCAGCACTGAGCCCAGGGGATCCTGGGGTGGCCTCTGGAATGTTCCCAGACTGTCCACAGCAAGGACCCAGTGACCGGTCCTAGCAGGATGGCTCAGGGCTGTCACTGATAATGAGCTAGGTTTGCAACATGCAGCCAAGATCAGCAACCTAAAAATAGTGGTTCTTACATAAGGTGGTGTGCACAGTACTTATCTAGATGCCTTGTGGTCTGAAAGGGGCAAGTGATATGTGACTCAGGGCCAGGCACCTCTGTTGTATAATGCATCCACCCCCCGTGCTGGGCCCCACATCGGCTTCCCACAGGTGGCCTGACTGACAGAACTGCAGTGCAGTGACCTAGAAACACCATGTGTGTCATCAGTTTGGCCAGCGGTGGGCTGTGTGCACCTGTACACTTGTGTGCACATGGTGGTGGTGGTGGCCGTGGCTGTGGGTCAGCTCTCATCTGCTTCCTCTTCAGAGATAGGAGGTGGTGGCTCTTTCCTCCCACAGTGGGCCCTTGGGAGCTTCAGTTCATTCATTCACTAACCACTCACGAAGCACCTACTGTGTGCTCAGCACTGTCCCAGGCATCGGGGGTACAGCAGCAAATGAGAAAAGACTCCTGCTCCGAGGGAGCTTAGAACTGAGTGAGGAGAGTAGAAAACACTCACACAGACGATGGATAGAAAAGCAAAGACCAGGTCCCTGTGAAGAAAAAAACAAAATAGGGTAATATCCCAGAGAGGGGGTCAGCAAGCTTTTTCTGTAAAGTCAGTAAATATTTTAGGCTTTGCGGCCATGTGGTCTCTGTCACAGCTCTCAGCTCTGCCATGGCAGCAGGAGAGCAGCGTGGACAATCACAAATGAATGGTGGGGCTGTGCTCCAATAAACCTTTATTCACAAAACCAGGCTATAGGACAGATGTGACCCTGAGGCCATGGTTGGCTGACCCTGCCCTGGGTAGGGGGAGAATCTGCCTGAACTGGGATTGTCAAAGGGACCCTTCCTGAAAGGGAGAGAGTCAGTTTCAGGCAAGACGTGGTGGCGCCCTGCTCAGTTCACTGGTAGTTGTGTGATGAGAAGTGGGCGGACAGAGCTGGGTGGGAGACAGAAAAATGATGGGGCTTGCTCAGGGGTTGAATGCTGGGGGTACAGGAGGGAGGGGATTCAAGGGTAAGTCCTAGATTTAAGCTTCATCAACTGGGTGAAGGATGGTTTGTTTCTGGGAAAGGAGAGGAGCTGGAGGGAAAAGCCAGGTTTGTGTTGGGCATGTTGAGTTTGAAGACCTTAGATGAGCAGGTGGGAGATCACAGAGCAGCGCAGCGGAGAAGCCGGGACTGCAGGCTTGACTTGGGGAGTCGGCAGTGTTTGGGTGGTCTTTAAGCTGTGAGTCTGGTTGGTCAGAGGGTGTGGGTGTGGACAGAGCATAGGGGGCCCGGGTGAGATCTGGGGTCACCAGCATTGAGCACTTGGCAGAGGAGGACAGAGTTGGCCTCATGCCCCAGGGGTGAAGGCACTGAGCAGCTCGGTCTCCGGGGGCAGGGGGAGGTGCAAGCTCTGGCTGCCTACTTACCAGCAGAGCCTCAGTTTCCTTCCTGTCAAGGAGGGGGTTCTACCTAGGGTTGGTGTGAAGACTGAATGAATAGGCATGCTTGACACGGAGAAAGCACTCAGCAACGGTACCTGTGATGATGGGGGTGGTGACCACAGGGCGGGGCTCCGGGCTCATGGCTGAGTGAGCGGTTGCAGGGTCTGTGATGGTTTGGCTCGGGGAATGGGGAAGTCAGTGATGGGCTGGGGCTGCAGACACCCCATTGCCCAGCACTCACCGTCAGGGTACATACACCTGTGCCCTTCTGCCTGGCGCAGGCCCAGAGTGCTGGATATAGTTCATGCTCCCAGGAGCCCCTGATGGGAGCTGGGGCTCAGTATCCTTCCCCCTTGGATAGATGGTGTGGAGGTGTGTTCTACCCTGTCTTCCAATGTTCCCCAGGGGTTGAGCCCCCACTACCCAGCTACATATCTTTACTGCTGCCTTCCCATCCCCATCCCTGGCTGGCTTCCACAGGCGCCCCGCTGGGGAGTCGCCCCCACCCCCATCTCCCAGTAACTCCGTGTCTAAGGTGGGCTTCTGGGACAGCAAGTTTCCTGGGTTGAGTGGCCATCTAGGCCTGCTGGGTCGTAGTGGAGTAGTAAGTGGGTTTTCTGGTGGATGGGTTAGTGAGCTGGGGGGTGGGAGGTGGTCTTGACCCCGGCAGTGCCTGGGCCAGCTGACGCCTCCTCTGCTGCTCCTCCGACAGCCGAGTGGCCGAAGATGGTGGACTACCTGGCGAACACGGAGATCAACAGCCAGCGCATCGCCGCGGTGGAGAGCTGCTTCGGGGCGTCGGGGCAGCCGCTGGCGCTGCCGGGGCGGGTGCTGCTGGGCGAGGGCGTGCTGACCAAGGAGTGCCGCAAGAAGGCCAAACCGCGCATCTTCTTCCTATTCAACGACATCCTGGTGTACGGCAGCATCGTGCTCAACAAGCGCAAGTACCGCAGCCAGCACATCATTCCGCTGGAGGAGGTGACGCTGGAGCCGCTGCCCGAGACCCTGCAGGCCAAGAACCGCTGGATGATCAAGACGGCCAAGAAGTCCTTCGTGGTGTCAGCCGCCTCCGCGACCGAGCGCCAGGAGTGGATCAGCCACATTGAGGAGTGCGTGCGGCGGCAGCTGCTGGCCACGGGCCTGCAGCCCAGCACGGAGCACGCGGCGCCCTGGATCCCCCGACAAGGCCACGGA